GATACAGCAAATTGGGATGTGACTGGTTGGGATGAGACAGATTAGATTGGGACGGGACAGGCTGGGATGGGATGGGACCCTTTAGCATAGAACAGTTTGAAATAGGACAGATTGGGATGGGAGAGATTGGAATGGGACAGATTGGGATTGTACAGTTTGTGATGGAGCAGACTGTGATGGGACAATGCAGGACGAATTAGGTTGGAATAAGGTCAATTGGGTTGGGAGTTTAGAAACAGGTAAAAGACCTTTGCCCACTACTCTCCTCTTACATGTACATTTTTGTTTTTGTACAGACAGGGTGAGAAATTTGTGAGTAATGAGTCATGAGTGGATTGTGTTTTCGCTTAAATCCAAATGCATGGCATTTGCTTATAGATTCTTCAAAATATAGTTTCAAAGCAGTAAAATAATTCTACATATGAGTATGCTAAATCGAAGGAAGGAATTTTCGTCGGCCTGCATATCATAAAACACATGTTGGATGAAATATTGGAAGAAAAATACGAGCAAGTGCGTTAGCAGCTTGGCAATTACTTTAAAGAATTGTGCATTCATTTCTGGGGACAAAAAAAGCAGGCATTTATGTGACATTGTCCCGTCCGTCCCGTCCGTCCCGTCCGTCCCGTCCGTCCCGTCCTTTTAGTTTACTTCTAAATATGGAATAATTATTGAAATGAAGAGAAAATATATTTCAAAAGTACTTTTACTTTAAACTATACTTTTACGTACATCTTAAAAATTCTTTCAAATTGCTTTAAAAATAAATTCAAGGCTACCTTTCGGTTGCAGCAAAAATGTCTTTGGAGTAAAATCTATTTCTGTGGGAGTGGTGCTCGAAGGATGTACTGAGTATTTGCAGATGATTCTTGCAATTGCAGTCTTCACTTGCATGCCGGCAAAGCGGATACCTGAAAAAATATTTTGTTGGAGAACTCAGAGTTTTCATCAAATTTTGGAGCAGCGACGCGTGAAGTTGTAACCTAAACGATCACAGTTGGTGACAATTCAAGCACAATTTATTTAATAATAATAATAACAATATTAATAATAATAATAATAAATTCTGGTTATTTCCAAAATTATTACAGAAAGTTTCTGTTACGCAAGTTTCAAAAGATATGAACATATTTAATATTGGAAATAACCAAATCCCATAATTTCCGCATTGGCTCCTCGATTATATTGCTACAAAATCTTACGAGCATTCATAATGTGAGGTAAGAACCAGTTAGAAATGAAACATGCGATGATATGCAGGCAGTAAAATAGTTTGTTGGTTTTCTCCACAACATTGGTAGTGCGAATGACAATGATTTGAGTTTTCCGCATAACCACATTCTAAGCCTCGTTGTACAGATGACACCAAACTGGTGAGTAGCCCATGGTTTGACCTGATCGCAAACACGACAGCGATAGTATAAATAATACGCGTTGATTCGCACACGGTGTGAAATGATTTGCATTTTATAGAACCGATTCAATTCTTCACATCATGTGGAGAATTTAAATTATTTTGCTTAATACTAAAATGCGGTATGATATTGTATAAAGTTACGGTGTATTTAAAAACTGTGACGTGAAATAACGTTTTTATTGTGATATTCGGAATCTACGTTTAAAATTGTGTTGCGCACTAGTCATTGCTTGCAAAAAAACCTTGTTGACTAGTGTCTAATTGAAATTTTCATCAGAGTTAACAGTGACACTTTACTTTGTGTGACACCATCAATATTGCAATAATTTATATTCGAATATCTACATTCAGAAATTTAAAAATGATTTTAATTTCCTATAAAAAATAGGGTTTTGTGAGTATACACTGTATCTTGAGCCACTAATATTAAAAACATACGATATTTGTCCTAATGTTGTTGCGTAGACATTCCTATTAAGAGAGTTAAAAATGTTACTATTTCTATGATATTTTGAATTTATAGAGTTACAAACGAAACAAACGTATTTGTGGCTACTAATTTTTTTTCAATAATATAAGTACTTACCAGCGCAATTCCGTGGCCCTTCGCCGAAAGGCAAGTAAGAATACTTTACGTGCTTATTTTGTTCAGAAAACCGCTCAGGGTCAAAACGTTTGGGAATAGGATAGTATTCAGGATTCATATGGAATCCGTAATTGGGAATTAGTATCCGAGATCCAGCCTCCAAAGTAACAGTGGTGCCAGGCAATGTGTACGGTTTGTTTGACACTCGGTCGATGAAAGGTAGAGGGGGATATTTCCTGAGTGTTTCTGGAAGATAAGAATAAAGTTTGAGTTGGTTTCAAATTTTGAAACGAAATAGAAATAAATTACTTCGTTAAAAATCTACAGTCTATCTTCCAGTCATAATTATTAAGTTAAGTATCACATATAACAAAGATACATATATTGTCTTCGTAATTGACTAACTATATTACGGAAGAACATTACTGCGAATATTTGCAATTTTATTTAAAACAAACATATATCAACGACCCAAATGAATATTTTGAATAACTTCATTTCAGTAGCGTATCATGCCCATTCACATATGTTCATTAGCACTACTTTCTGAACGATTATGTTCATTTTTAATGTATGTGTAATCAATTAAACATTCAAATGATTCAAAATACGCCAACATAGAATGATTACCTTTTAAATTACTTACAGACATATTTTCCTACACCTTACTGTTTCTATTGTGCTACATCGTTTTATAAAAAAGCTTTTGGGGTGGATAGTAGAAAGAAAAAATATTTCAAATGTCGTTTTACTATACCTTGTAGGACCATGTCGAGGTATTTCATGTCATGAAGAGCTTCATAGGACAGTGTTTGTTTGCTAATAGAGTCATGAATTTCTTCACGCAGTTTATTTTGAACGTTGGGGTTCATTGCCAGCTCATATAGCACATAGGCAATTGTGGTAGCAGAAGTTTCAAATCCCGCCATCAAGAAGGCCAAAGAATTGCTTGCCACGTCCAATAAGTCGAATTCTGTAGAAAGAGAAATGCTATTTGTTCACAGAAAATACAAGAAGGAGAGATATTGAATATTTGTTTTAGATCATATTTTCGAAAATGATAGGCAATTACATTTCTATTTAGCACAATGCCTATACGTCAAAAGTTAGTTGTTCTATTATTCTGTTGAAAAAATAGGTTAATGGAGGTATGATTTACGATCACTGGTATATAAAAAGAAACGCAGCAAAGCTCTCAACTGTATAACATACTAAGGACTTCACTTATACAAAAAAACGGATAGATTTTTTTAAAAAAGGTATGTGAAGTTTGTGGAGAGAAGACGATTTTTTTTGCCTTTGTCAAATCTAGAGACTTTGAATGATAGGATTGTTCTATTAAAATATTTACTTTATCTTATATTAATATAATTTTACTTACTGTGAAAAGCGTCATCTTGCTCAGTCTGTAGTTCATCTTCATCCGTAATTACTCCCGAATTTTTAAGTTGTATAAGACTGTCCAATAAATCGTTTCGTTTGATCTGATACGTTTCTCTTTCTTTTATTGCAGTCGAAATTGTATTTAGAATAAAATTGGATACATCATTTCCAATAAGTTTTAGACCGAAAAATGATGTGAGGTTGGGAGAAAGAAACGCAAAAACACTTGCTAGAGCTTCTTTTGGCGTGTATTTAAACGTTAATCTCATAATTCGTCGAAAATCTGCATTTGGGTTTTCCAGTGTGTGTCCTTGTATTCCAAATGCACATGATGCAATGGCATCTGTTGTGTATCGTGCTGCCAACTCATTAACGTCGATTGGTAAGCCTGAAATGCGAGAAAAAAGTTCTGAAATTGACACAAAATGACATCGCAGATCACTTTATGTGTTTTTGGAATTGGAAGTTGCATGTGCATACAACGACTATCGACCGTAGTTTGTAAGAGAACAGTGGGAACCAATAAACAGCTTCTTTAAGTTTTAAAATATCCATTATCAATGATTTCTCGACTTACTATTTCATTATTATTTAATATCAGAAATGCAAAGATACTGAGAACAGAATATTTCTACGGAACTGGCATTCCATCATTGTGAGCAATATCATTACACATTTGAAATGAATTACACAAGTTTGTTTTGTATGTGAAATATTATTTGCATCTTGTTATTCCCTTTTTACATAATAGAATATTCGCGTGCCGGTTATCGACCTAGTGTCCCAAGCGCTATTTACCTTGGAGTTAATGTGATTTCAATTATACAAGGCCAACATTCACTTGAATGAAGAATATTTACAATCAAATTTAAAATGCTGAAATGGCCTTTAAATTTTCATTTAATAAATGCGTCTTTTCATTGCAATGCTCTAGTTGGGGATACATTGCAAAAAAAAAATTCTTACAGAGAAAATAGAAGGTCCCTTTATACAAACATTCTCATCTTACTAACAATGTTTAGACGTCTTAATCAGATGAATGATGTGGGATGCTTCTAATGCCCTAGAGAACTCTCCTTTGCCGGATGAATGGGGAATTTTGTTGGCCGTTTGTGTTTGTTGTTTGCCGGAGGAATGCCGTTTGTGTATAGGAGTTTCCGCCAGTGGAAACCGCCTTGCCTTCTCCCTGGTTCTCACTCCTAATCGAGGCTTCGCCCCTTACCCCTCTCCGATCAAGAAACATTACGACCTCCACCGAGCAGAGGTACTATCATTGTTCCAATTAACCCTTCAATACTAGCGTTCGAAATCATAATGCCAGTGACCGCGTGTATTATTGAGAAGTTATTCTAAGAAGGGGTGAGCTTGACCCATCAGGAAACAAATGAATGACATATAGAGCGATGACTTTGCAAGAGATGGTGAACAGAACTGTTATTATGAGCTAACTGTAAACGAACGCACTGACAAAATGAGTGCTTGGACATGATCTGCAATTACGTTGTCATCAATAGCCAAGCAGTAGATGTAAAAACTTTTCTATCTTTTAAAAATCCCAATTAACATTCCGGTATGAACAAATCGTCTTTAGTTAGTTTATACGTAGGTAAGGATCTTTTTCAAAATAATATACACATTTTTAACATGCCAAATATTACCAATGATATAAAATAATACCCAGAATTTATCTTGTAAATAAATATACTCATAAATTTGATGGTAGATATGTGTTTTTTGAAACATTCAATTTTCTTGTGTTTTGTGCTCTAGATTTACGTTATTTAATATTCAATATATAAGGCAGGTAGCAATAAGAGTAGGAATAATGGGCAGTAATATCGTCAATGTGTTCCAATCAGATGACAATTGTATTCAGCATTTCTCTCGTCAGTCACTCTCTTGATCATATTCTGGTAATTAACCCTCATTACCGGTATCATCACCTTTCGAACCACACAAAACAATGTATTCGTATTCTTCTTGTTCTACCAACCATTGACGTATTAATTTCTTACTTACACAGGCTGCCCAATTGAAGTCTCTCTCAAAACTCAGATCTGCTAGCTCGCATACAATGCACGAAACTCAAAGTCACGGCCGACTTCCTCGGATAGCGACTGTAACGCGAGTTGTCGCGCGGAGTACTATGGTACTATAGAACTCCATGCTCTGTTCCAAGATTATGAACTAGAACCCTGGGACCTCTCGGTTAACAAAGCTGCAGTGGCCACGGTGTTGCTGCCGAGGTGTCACAGCGGGTGGATACGAGTCGATTGTGTAATGACAATGTGTCAGTATGACAACCTAATTATGGTATGTCTCTAGGTTTTAGAGCGACATGGAAGTTGGTGTAATTGAGAAATTTCAATTTAAAAAAAAAACCTTCAAGAGTTTTAATATTTTATGCAAAAAACGAACACATTTTCCGATTCATGTTCCGAAAAACTATTTTGGTCTGAGAATCTGTGAAGTTTGAATGACCAAGCTAGGTCGAATTCAGTAGCTGTCTGCTGGAGGAGAATTCTAGCAGCTGGCTGCACTGGTTGGTAGTTTTCCTTGGTTTCTCCGACCAACACTAGACAAATGCCGCAGTAGTACCCTAACAAACGGGCCAAGGACCGTGGACGATCTTTCCTACCTCTTCTTTGTGCTATCCCTACCTCTTTCACACTTGCACAACAGACACTATACTACCGCACAAGCCTGAAGGCCAGGGGTACCTTAGAGCTGGTTCCGGCTGGGGCAGTGACCAGCAGGTGGGAGATACCTTGTTGGGGAAAACCCCGCTAGCCGACAGTATGTCGGCACCGGAAGTAGCCATACAGCGCGGGAAGACCACTGTCACCTCGCAATCATAAGTATACACTACACGTACGCGGCTAATGACTCTAGTAGTTAGCGCGCCGGAATCACTACCAATCAATCATTTGAATGACCAAAATTCACACACCTTTAATTTATTAGGGAGTGTAGGAAAGTGCTTGTAACACGCCTTATTTTCGTGAATAATTTTAACAATTTTCTTAAGGAATTTGAATTTTTTCCCAAAAATAGCAATTTCTTGTTCTGTCACTTACCACTTGCACCCAAATCAAAAAATTATAAGAATGTCTAAGCGATGAGGGTATTATTTAGAATGAATTTGGCAAAGGATTAGAACTCTTCTATTTGTCAGAAATAGCTTCCAAATTGATTGTAGGTAAATTTCATTCCACAGCACAATTAAGAAATTATTGCAGTAATTAACGTCGTCCTTGCAAACGGGAAGAAAATGCTTATAATGTACAGCTCGTAGAATTTACTCTATAATTTTTATAATATATTATGTCATATGATTTTGTGTTTGAATAGAATAATTCAACCCGCTAGTTACTTACACGCTGCCTCTTATGCAGAAATGGAAATCGTGTTGGAGAAATAAAAGTGCATGTTTTATCCTCAGAGGAAACGATATTTAAACGTGCAAGTAGAAGTAATTAAAGGGTCATATTTATATATAAGATGAAAATAATTTAACAAATTATTAAGATGAGCATTTTTTTAAAAAGTCGAATACACATTTGATGAAAAATCGATGAATAACTGTTGGATTGAAGCTACTCGGTCACTTAGAGCCAGAATGAATCCAAAAAACTTTCAATATTTACCGCCTTACTTGAACTTTGTAAATGTATTAAAATAGTATAGAGCCGATATATCAGCGTGCTAAAGAATTCAACGAAAACACATAATGATGCTTGTGTAAATTTACTTGTAAGTATTTGGGATTTATTGCATTTACATACCTTTCCGGGCGTTCTTCTCAATTTGCGATACGAGCAAATCCACACATTCTGAAATGAGTTTGAAAATCCGCTTCATTTTTCCAGGTGTGAAACAAGGTGATATCGCTGTACGACACTTTTTCCATCGATCCCCTTTTAAACAAAAAATGCCCTTGGCCAAGAAAGGATCCATATTTTCATCCGCATGCAGACTCCGGTCACAGAAGTATTGGAAATCTTTCACAAGCACGGCTTTGACTAAATCCAGATCATGGATTTGGAGGACCGGCTCATCGAAGGCATAAATTCCGATGAACCGTTCCGTCTTGAACTCTTCGTAGATTTCTTTGGTCACAACGCCTAAGGGCTTCCTCATTAAAACCACGTCTTTTAACGATCCAGCAAACGGGATCGGTGTGAGATGCTTCACACCTTTCTTTTTCCAGTGACTGAATTTGCGTGTGCTGAATAAATAGGCGGCAAGGACTGCGGCTGCCAAGACGGTTACTCCGTACAACACGATATCCGTCGCCAATCCCATTTTGAACGCAACCTATAAAAAAGTTCACTTTTAAAAATTCGGAAAGGTACTGTCAAGAAGTAGAAATGTCTCGAACTAAGATTTTACTACACTGAATTCCATTTATGGAAATTATATTTCCTATGTAATGCCTAAGAACAATGAATCAAGAAGTTAGATTAGGAGTGGTAGGGAAGTTGTGTTCAGAACGATGTACCGTTTTTAAAAGTACGCTAAACATTCAAAGTATTTTTAATTTTCTTGTTAACACTTTCTCTAAAGATATTTATTTTTTGATACGTTTTTCAGGTTGATGATATTTACATTGTGGGCGATTTTAATACATTTTATGACATTATGATTACAAGTGGTTATATAAAACAGCTTTCCATTTTCTATGATATTGATAAAGTTGTATTTTATTGGACTATTAATAAAGTGAAAAATATGGAAAACGTGGGAACAATGTATTATAAGTGCCGATAGGTTGCAGCTTAGAAGACTGGGGAAAAACCAAAAAGCTAGCTCGGACTAAAGAGTCAAGAAACTAGTACGAAAGAGTCTATGCTGTTATGTAGCACTAATATTTCACCTTTTTGAATTGTATGCTGATTTTTTGTTCATGAAGAACAATTTACAATTTTCTTAATAACACTTCTCTTAACTAGTAAAAATGGTGGAACATGAAATTTTAGACGTAAAATATAACACATATAAAAGATATATTTTCCTAAGATGTTATTTTGGTTTACAATTCCTTACATTGAACGTAATATTTTTATATCATATTTAAACATTTCAAGAAGTTTCATTTTGTCGGTATATTTTCCATTGGCCATTACATGTAAAATATCGAGTAATTAATGATGAAATTACTTCGGAACATACTTAATATATGTTAGATCTGAGCAGAAATTTGAAATGAGAATCATCGGTCTCAATTTATTATGTCATGAAAGTATGTAATTTTTTTACCTCGTCTAGAAATTAAAGATCGGTGTTTAAATTTCGATAACTCGGCGTTCAAATGAAAATTCATTTAATCTTAAAATTATCTTACCAACCTTGTGGTTACTTTTGATTTTCAATATTTTGATATTAATAATCATTGGTCTTCGTTGAAGAAACTTAATACCGTCTTACCTCTAACTGCAGTTTAGTATGTCAGTGAGGAGCTACTTAGAGAGGTGGTCTGTTACGCTGTAGACAAATAACTGAAGACAACGCACCTTGAGGACTGCACTCTCCAGAAAGGAGCACGTAACACGTTTCCTTCAAGGATAGCGAGATCCTTCTCTGCACTGGAGTTTTATGGGCTTGGGAAACATTGTGTATTTTGTAAGCATCAATAAAAGATGCAGAAGCAGTCTGTATTGCTACTTTTTGTCTTTCCGTATTTTTATTCACATTTTTTAAATAATTATTGTGAAACATCACACATTTCTGAGAAGACAGTTGAATTCAAGAACTGACAAATTATTCAGAGAGTTACTCATATCATGAAATTTGCATTTCATTGCAGCCCGTTGTTTATATACTTATTACGTATAAAGTACGTAATATTCTGAAAATCTGTGCACAAATGTTTTCCTTGCTGATTTTGTCCGAAGGAAACTGGTACGTCGTAATAAGAATTAGCCAAGTTGCAGGCATGTCTTACTAGTAAAGATATGTATTTCATTCCAATATTATCAACTGAAAAAATAGAGAAAAATTTGGTATCGTTTTAGAGAAAATCTCATTTTTACAGTTATCTTTATATCATTGTAACGTACGCGAAAACGACTCATATTTAAAAAATCAATACCAATTTTTCGATATTGTGAACTCACAAAACATGGATTCTGACCATACAACGCGTTTTAGTGGAAGTAATTTACATCTTAGAGAAACAAAAATTATCCCTTTTTTCGGAATCAGAGGCCAACTAAATGAGGCCTAGTTTCGCAGGGTTTTTGTACAGAGTTACATAATTTTCTCTATGCTACTATGTATATGATATGTTCTTACGCCCAAAACAGCTCAGCCAAACAATAAACTTTAGACTTGCAGCCGAGCAGGAAGCAACGTACCAAAAAAGCCAATATGAAATGCAGCTTCAAGGTAATAAAATCTTAACTTTTCGTGAGAGCTCATAAGTGACATTCCCATCCATGAAGCACCGACTGAAAATGACGTCCTCTCGAATTTCAAACAGATTTTTACATATTAGCTACGGTTTTTGCAGCAGAAAGAAAGTTATGTAAAGCTGCGCGAAAAACGGCGAATTTTGAAGATGTTTGGGATACCCTGATAGCAAAAAAGTGTTTGTTTTTTTTCAAAACATCCGTCCATCCGTCTGGTTTATGTGAACAACACTAGCGCCTAAACCAAGCTTAGAATTTTTTCCAAATTGAATAAACTGCTGTCCATTAGGCCTGGGTCCAAGCTCTGCGATCTTGAAAATCATTCATTAGTTTTTGGGGTACTTTACAAGACCTTACAGTTAGTTCCCCCTGGGACATTTTCAAAATGTTCTCGAAAATGGCTCCAACTTTTTTCTTTAAATTTCTTGTAATAAAAGAGTAAAATGCACTTATGAATGTGAAATAGGACCCATTTTCACGGTTAAATCTGAATTTTCGAAACTTTAAAAAATTTGAATTTTTTCATGGTCTTCCTACAACAACAAAATTAAAGATAGATAACTTTTCTTCAAGTAAAACTTGTTGTACAAAATTTGTTATTTTATTAAGATGATGTACATTTTTTTGAAAAATTTAGAAGTGTTCGCGCAATATTGCTTGCAATTTTAAAAAATTAAAAAAAAATTCTCTAAAACAGTTCTAATTTTTTCTTTAAAATTTTGTTAAGGATTGTGCGAGATTCATTCTATAAGATGACATAAACGCTATATTGCTATATTATTTTGTTTTTTAAAAATTAACAAAAATGTTTTGACTTGTGTCTCCCGTTAATACTTATATTAGCAGCAATTTACTCATATTATTATATTTATGAGTACATAAGCTTTAAATAATCTCATTTAAAGCTTCTACGAAAATTAAACCGTCTTTTGTTAAAAGTACATCAAAATTTTGTAATTTCGGAAACGTTCAAACACTCAACTACGGCTCCAATTTTTTTAACTTTTCGAACGGAAGGTGTTAATTGCAGTCTTCAATGAGACGTAAAGTTCATTTCGCGGTACATTTTTATTTTCTAAATAATTACACAAATATATTTTTTAATATCTCTCACGCCGGTAATATGCACATTTCCAGCAATTTGTAAACACTATTGTATTTGTGAGTTAATGTGCTTCAAATGACTTCTAATGAAGTTTTCGAAAACAAAAAAAAATCTGTGAAAAAAGTGCTTCAAATTTCGAAAATAGTGCCTAATTAGCGCTTAAATGTCATTTCCGTAGAGAACACACGAGAACGTCTGCCCCTTAGTTGTAAAATGAACGTTGACTAAAGGAAATTTGCAGTAAATGCCAATTAATGTAAGGGCCGTAGGTTCCTGAGAAACCGTTTGTTTACAATGACGCTCGACCGCGGGAAAACAGTGGTGGTATAATATGCCTATATTTCACGCTAGACAATAATACTTGTAGATACTCATAAGGAAAATGCTAGTGTGAAGTGCGAGTTCGGAATATCGTTGCGTTTTAGTAAGTGATATGTTGTATTGTTAAAATCAGCAAACACTACACATGATATTTCGGGGAGAAGTATAATTTGCGCACGGCTATTGAGCACCAGAAAGACTATCTCATCCTTTTATTTTTTCGCTACCGCTTATGCAGTGGAGAGAAAGGTATATAATGTTGCGCGAAAAGAACGCGATTTTTTGGCAGCAACACTCTTAATACAGAGCCCAGGTAACGAGAAAGTGAATAAATCTAATTGCTAAATTTATAAACAAAATCTTTTAACTCGTTGTGAAGCCATAATCCATGTTTTGTGAATCCTTGATGCCGAAAAATTGATTGAAGGCGAAATGTCTGTCCTGTCTGTATGTCTGTAAACAACGCTAGCGGCTAAACCGCTCAGCCGATTTTCTCGAAAATTGATATTACACAATCGATCTAGCTGATGTCTCGGCCCCATGAATTTGAAAACGAAATTTTATTTTTGGGGTTTCTTTACATAAAGACCCTTGGATATTTCCAAAATTTTCAAAACGATTGCTCCATTATTTTTTTATTTTTTTAGTTCGGCTTCGTTGTTGGATATTGTGAAAGAAGATTAAGAAACTAGTGAAGTTCATGTTTGTTGAAAATTCAGATTTATCGGAAATTGCAAAAGTTTAAAAATAATTCCGCGGCTTCTTACAAGTACAACTGCAAAGATATTTTTTTCTTCATGGAATGTGTTCACCAAAAACAAATCTTCAAATAATGCCTTGTTGGAATTTTTGAAAGTATGCGTATTTTGTGTAATTTGGCATCAAAAATCGTCGCCTGTTAGGAATTTATTGCGCTTCCTGTACATAATTTGGGATATGCTTGGATGCTATTGCTATTATAATGAAAGAAAATAGATTGAAGAAAGGTAATAAATTTAATTTAGAACAAACAAATTACATCTTCACTTAAAATATAATTTTTTTTAAATGAGAAAGTGTTTTAGTAAGTACGGAAGACCCGGGTATATTCATATTGAAGAAAGGCAGTGAGAGTTGAGGTAGGGCGGAGAAGATATACAATAGAATAGATAGAAGTATATTGCCTAAACAATGAATAAAGACTATGTAGTTTTATATACACTCTTATCACAGAGAATACCATACTTTCTCGTCAGTTTGAAATTCCGAAAATAAATTCAACACAAGGAGACAAAAGGGTCAAAAAGGAAGGTGGTAAAAAATGTATTCTGCAATTTGTAAATTGTTGAAAGAGATGGACAAAATACAGTGAAGTGTGCATTGTAATAAGTTGCAAATTGTTCATAACCTAAGTGCTGATAGTTTTGTATTTTTGAAGAAA